GGGGGGGAGGGGACAGCCACCCACGTGACGCAGGCCGCGCCTCGGCGCCCGCCCGCCAATCAGACGGCGATGTTCACCTAGCCACGCCCCTGAGGGCGGGGCGGAGGCGAGCGAGTGGTGGCGGGAACGGCGTGAGGGAGCGGCCTGAGGGAGAGAGCGCTCGGGGCCGCGAGAGATGCACTCCGGGCCGGGAGAGCTCCGCTCCGTACGGAGCCGGGCCGCGAGAGATGCACTCCGGGCCGGGAGAGCTCCGCTCCGCACGGGGCCGGGCCGCGAGAGATGCACTCCGGGCCGGGAGAGCTCCGCTCCGTACGGGGCCGGGCCGGGAGAGCTCCGCTCCGCACGGGGCCGGGCCGGGAGAGCTCCGCTCCGCTGCGCTCCGCACGGGCCGGGCCGGCTCCCTGCCCCTCCAGGGCCGCAGGTGCTCCCGGCGGGCCCGGCCCTGGCCCCGCAGAGCGGGTCCGTGCGGCTCCCCGCGCTGCCCGAGCAGCGGGCGTTCAGCGCCGGCGGAGCTGAGCCGCTTTCAGCGGGTCGGTAGCAGACGGTAGCGGCCCGTTCGCAGCGCGGTGTTTGCCTCAGCGCGCCCTGCCCCGCTCCGCACGGGCTCCGCGTCCCGCCCAGCTGTGCCCCGGTGTGCCCCCGGCGTGCGTGCCCGGACAGGCTCTCCGCCGGTGGGGAACGTGCACCGCCGCCACGGAACGGTAATAAGTAGGTGTGGTTCCTGCTGACAAAATTGAAACAGCAATCAGTATTGATACAGCAATTAATATTTGGAAATAGTAAAACAGTTAAAAGTGTAATGCTAAGAAAGAAAGGGAGAGGATGGGCTCCGCCCCTTCTGCAGATGTTCAGAACAGGAAAAAACAAGAGATAACAATTACTAAAATTAACAGAGTGGGTCACACCTCTGCCAAGGAGCGCCGTGTCCTCGGCAGGACCCGCAGATGGGCTTGTTTGGCCCAAAGCCCCTGGCTGAGCCGTGTAACTGACTGCCCTGAGGGAGCAGAAAGCCAGAGCAGCTCCCTCAGAGCAGCCTGAGGGGGCTGCGGTGACAGAGCCAGACCCCAGGTGCCTGGGCAGCACTGGCCAGCTGTGCCCTGGGCAGGCAGGAATCCGCGTGGATTTGCACGTCGCTGTGACCCCCGGCCCGGCTTTGCCCTTCCTGCGCTGGCTGGACAGCCGCTGGTGAGGGGACACAGTCTCAAGCCGTGTTAGGGACGGTCACGCTGGGTACCAGGAAGAGTTTTGTCTCAGGGTGACGAGTCTTGGGGATGGGCTGCCCAGAGAGGTGCTGCAGTTCTGCCCCTGTTCAGGCTGCATGTGGCACTGCTGTGTCCTGGCTGAGCTGTGCCCAAAGGCTGGGCTCCGTGACCTCCAAGGTGTTTCCCACCTCGGTGGCTCTGTGACCTTGTCCTCAGCTCCGCAGTGCTGCTGGAGCTGTGGTGGCTCCTGCTCGTCCCTGTGCCTGCCCAGCCCGGCTGCTGCAGCTGCAGGGCTGCCACCAGCAGTGCCTGGGCTGCCCGGAGCACGGCGTGCCCAGCCGGCCTGGCACGCAGCTGTGGGCTGCAGAGACTCAGGAGGACAGAGGCCTCCTGGCAGTCCTGCGTGGGCGTGGGGCGGGCTGGGGCTGCTGCGAGGAGCAGGGGCTGCTGCAGGTGCTGGGGCCAGCAGTGTGCCACCGTGATACTTTATGAATAATCCTCTGCCAGGATTTTCCCCTCCTGAGGAGCTGAGGGCCTCAGGAGAGAAATGCAAACAATAACTGTGTGCTGCTGTGGAGTGCAGCGGGTGCAGCTGGGATTGGTGCATGTTGGGTTTGTATTTAAAAGCCAGTCACAGATGCAGCTGCATCAGACTCTGAGAGTCACAAGATTCTGTAATTCTATTCTATTCTTGTTCTTTCAAGCCCTCTGATGATCTTTTCTCTCTGTTCTTTTAGTATAGTTGTAATGTAGTATTTTAATATATATCATAAGACAATAATCAGCCTTCTGAGGAAATGGAGTCAGGCCTCGTGTCTCCACACACGGGGAGCTCCCAACAGCAGTGCCCCACAGCTCCCCGTGCCCTGGCACACTGCCCCACAGCCTCTCTGCACTCAGGGCGCCCTGTGGAGCCCCAGGAGGACAGCGGGTGACACAGCAGCCAGCTGCACGCCCCTCGCACCCACCTGGAGCTGCAGTCTCTGCAGCAGCACGAGGAGTGCAGGCTTTGGCCACAGGGCTGCATCGTGTGGCAGAGCCCTTCAGGCTGTGCAGGAGAGCATTCCTCTGCTCCCGAGGGCAGGAACTGGAAGGAAGCACCTGTAGGGGCCTGCCCCTGCACACAGGACAGCAGAGGGCTGTGAGCCCTCCTGCTCCCTGCTGCGGCACAGCTCCCTTCCTGGTGCTGAGCAGCCCAGGTGAAAGGCACTGCCTGCGTTCTGCACCCACTGGTGAAATCACCGTGGAGGTGTTACTGTGGGGGCAGGCTGGGGTCACCCAGCCAGGCCCACTCGAGCCTGTAAAAACACAGCTGCAGAGGCTGGGGGCTGCAGGATCCACCCCTGGCCATGATAGTCAAAGATTTTAAAATCGTAGAAAATTTGGGGGAGTAGAAAGAAACTTAGGCTTAGTAAGCCCTGGGAAACGTTAGGCCTTGTGTTTGCCAGATCATGTGAAATTGCACCTGTGTAACCAGTATATGATAAATGATATAATTGTTAGATGTGATGGTTGTTTAGTAATTAAATATAATTATTGTTTAATCATAAGAAGAATCATGAGAAACTATGTTCAAGGGTTTGGGGGGGGATCATGAGAAACCCATGCTTGGATGAAATCAATGTATACAAGAGAGCAATATAAGTTCAATAATTAATATGTAAATTATACAATGATAGAATATAAAAACATGTTCATCCTGAGCCCATGTTGGAGTCAGATTTGGGTCTGTACCCCTGACACCCAGAGCTCTCCAATAAAAGCACCTGCATGGAATCACTCTGTGATTATGTGTTCCTGAATGCTGACACCAGGACGAGTGAAGAGACGAGAACCTTGGCTCCGTGTTTCAGAAGGCTGATTTATTATATTATGATATATAGTATATTAAAATGCTACACTAAAACTGTACTAAAAGAATAGAGAGAAAGGATCCATCAGAAGGCTGGGAAGGACAGGAGAAGAATGATACCAAAGGCTCCTGACTGCCAGAGAGTCCGAGCCAGCTGCACCTTTGATTGATTATTGATTAGAAACAACCAACATGCACCAACCCCAGGTGCCCCTGCTGGTAAACAATGCCCAGAGCACATTCCACAGCCATCAGAGAGTTAATTGTTTACATTTCTTTTCTGAGGCTTCTCAGCTAGAATAGGAGAAAAACCCTAGCAATGGATTTTTCATAAAATGTCATGGCTACACCACAGCTCTCAAATCTGTGCCTGTGCCACATGGGATGGTGGTGGCAAGGGCTGGCCACCCTCAGTGCCAAAATCCCCAGTGCTGGCACTGCTGCAGGGCTTGGAGGTTCCTCTGCAGCCCCTGCCCAGAGCAGGACTGTCCAAGGGCTGGGGCAGCCCAGGGTGTGAGCCCGTTTTCAGACTGCAGACAGGAGATGTGGAGGTGGGGAGGGAGGGAGCGTTCCCTGTAGCCATGATATTTTATGAAAAATTCTTTTGCCAGGATTTTTCTCCTGAGAAGCTGAGGACCATCAGGAAAATAATATAATATAATATATAATAAACCAGCCTTCTGAAACATGGAGTCGAGACTGTCCTCTCTTCCCAGGTGGTGTCCTGGCACCCTGTTCCCGATGGAGGGGGGCCATGGCCACACCCTGCTGGGCTCCAGGTGCACTGAGACCGAGTGAAGCACCCGCCAGGAACGGGCAATTAAAAGGAGGTGTAATTCAATTACCTTCTGAGCTCTATTGTTTGTCAAAGTGGGCTGTGCAGAGGCAATTTGTAGTTATTTCATAACACTTGTAAGATGTGGATTGAAGACGTGATTTTGTTTGTCGGGAAGATAATTGAACACCTCTGCTGTGTAAATGTTGAAGTGCTTTCTTTGGGGAGGCCAGGTGGTGCTGAGCAGTGCCAGGCAGCCCAGGTAGGCAGCCCGGAGGGTGCAGGTGCTCAGAAGGGAGAGCTGTTCCCTTTGGTGACATCCTGCAGCCCCCAGGCACTGGGAAAGGACACCCTGCAGTTCTTGTGCCTGTCCTCAGGCAGCCTGGCCATGGGCTTGTGAAAAACTTGGTTTTACATCACTTGTTTTTAAAAAAATTTTAAATGTTTAATGGTAATAAAATGGTTATGATAATAGTAATTCAATCCTTGCGAAAAGCCAAGCATAACATTTTTCAGCGGGCTGCAGCGTGCGCTCCCGCTGCGAGGCCCGGCTGGGAGCACCAGGGCGCCGAGCCTGCTCCGGGAGCGAGCCCTGCTGTGTTTCCGTGTGCTTTGGCTGCAGTCAGTCGTGCCTCCGTTTGCTGTTTCCCCTCCGTGCCGCTCTGCCTGGTTCTCCCCTCCCTCCTGTTATGTTTGCCCAGTGGTGGACCCTTCCCCTCCGCTTTCCTAGCTTTTTACCTTTTTAACCATTTTGTTATCTCCAAATATTGATTACTATATCCATATTGATCACTGTTTCAATTTTATCAGCACGAATCACGCCTATCTATCACACTCCCTCGCACGGTCTCACCTTGCCTGCTCCCCACGTACAGACGCGTCCTGCCCCGGAGCCCTCCCGGCGCCCTGTCCATCACTCCGTGACCCATCCTCTTCTTCTAGAAGCTTCCAGCCCGGCCGTCGCGTGATCGCTTCAGGTGCCAGGGCCCACCCTCAAGTTATCCCCATTGGTGTTTACCTCATGTCAATCATCCCTTTCCTCACGCCCATTGGACTGCAGACCGACCCCGCCCCTTTCCCTCCCCTTATATTCCTGTGTAAGCAGCTCCTCGGGGCTGGTGGTGTGTTTTATTTGGGTGGTGTGCTCTGTCTGACCCCTGGAGCGTGTACGGGTTAGTCCAAGCTGTGTTCCTGCCCTGAAGTCTCATGTATCTGTAATCCCCTTGGCCCAAGTCTTATTCTGCACCCACCTTGAATCTCTTACGCTGTGCGAGGGAGACCAGGCTGTCTCCTGGCCCTTCCCTCCCCAGGCTCCCCCTCCCTCCCCCTTTCCCCTTCTCCCTCAGCAGCCGTGCTGTTCCCGGGGATGGGACCCCCAATAAACCCCCATCTGATCAGCTCCCTCAGGAGCCGTGTGGAGCCTCCTCGCCTGCCTGCTGCTGCCAGCGAGCACACAGCCTAGGGGGCTCTCCGGGGAGCCCCCCCTGTGGAACAGCAGCACCCGGGGCCTTCAGCTGCTGGTTCCCCTGGGGGCGTTCTCTCCCTGCTGGGATTCAATAAACCCGGATTTTTCCCACCTGGAGTCCACTCCTTTCTTCTACTGACTGCTGCTGCTGTCTTGTCCGGATCAAGGCGAGAGCCTCAGCTGCCCCCGTGCCCTGCGAGGTGTGGAGGCTGTTCCTCACTGCCAGCGGGCTGCTGCCAGCCAGGACACTGAAGGGCTTTGGACAGACCCTGCCTCAGTGCCCCTCCTGCTCCACAGCAGCCCCAAGGTGACACCCAGCTGCTGCTGGCCGCGTTCCTCAGGCTTCTTTGCCAGCTGCTTTACTCCACATTCAGTATCCACACCTGGCTGAAAGTTGCCAGAGGGGTCTCACATTCACAGCTGCTAATATACAGCAGACCTGATGTCCACAGGATGCCACAGGAGCTGAGAGTATGAACTTCTCCTGGTTCAAAAAGTGCTAGAGACAATTATGGGGGCTTGGTCCTGAGGGGGCTATCCCGTGCCACATCCTGGATACCGCTGCAGGAGGACGTGCTTCCCTCCTGTGAGAGCTGAAAGCGAGGAGAGCGTTTCACAGAGGAACACTGCAGCCTTGAGCTTTGTCTTACCTGTCCCACAAAGGGCTGTCTCTTGGCCACTCTCAGAGTCGGCATGCTGCTCTGGATGGAATTTTTGTCATTGAATCACTGAATATCCTGAGCTGGAAGGGACCCACAAGGCTCATCAGCGTCCAGCTCCTGGCCCTGCACAGGGCAGTCCCACGAGTCCCACCGTGTACCTGCGAGTGTTTGTACGAGTGCTCCCTGGGCTCTCAGGCTGCTGCTGTGACCCCTCCTGGGAAGGCTGTTCCAGTGCCCAGCCACCCTCTGGGTGAAGAACCTTTTCCCAACATCCAACCTAAACATCCCCTGACAGAGTTTCAAGCCATTAATAAACCTGAATTATAAGCAGCATTTGGAATTTCTGCCAATATAAATATTCCAGAGGGTGATAAATAGGTGTGATTCGTGCTGATAAAATTGAAACAGTAATCAATATGGATATACTAATCAATATTTGGAGATAACAAAATGGTTAACTTATACTTTAAACTATTTCATTTAAATCTCATTAAAATTATTGTTACATTTAATTTTGTTTGGCCTTCTACTTGTGATTGGATAATTAGGCAAACATAACACAGAGGGTCATTTTTATCAAACCCAGTGTTTTGTTTTTGAAACGTTGCATTAGAATTTTTTGGGTAAACTTCCTTCCTTAATAACAGTTGGTGAATGAGACTGCAGCTAACCCTGCGGGCCAGGTGCAGCTCTGTGTGGGGTGCTGCCTTACAGCCACCGCACTCAGGCAGCCAGGGGTGTTTCTGGGCACAGGGACGGGTGTCCTGCGTCCAGCCAGGCTGCTGCTCACCTGCAGGGCTGTGCTCCGAGGCAGGGCCTGGCTGGGCAGTGGATTTTTCCTTTGGTGAGAAACCTGACCTCGACTCTCCAGAGAGTGCAGTAATGCAGTAACTCTTGGTGCAGGCTGTGGGAGAGGACACAGTGGCACTGTGACACTCGCGGTGCTGAAGGGAGCCGGGACACGAGGGCCCCCGGCTTGGTAAAGATGCTCCCATCTGGTCCTGCAGACCCCCAGAGCAGGACAGTGGGTGAAACAGAGAGCACTCTGAGCACCTGTCACACAGCGTTTCAATCAGGATGAAACTCTGAAAAATGTCTATGTTATTATGCCCCTGAAACCCCCCAAATAAAGATCCCTTTTATATTACCTCCTTACTAAAACTGTCCCAGGTTTCATTTCCAGGACAGGAAAAAGGCAGCAGTGCAGGGAACGTGCTCTGGCAGGACCCCCAGCACGCCTGGCTGCCCCAGCCCAGACAAGCCCCTCATCGTGGAGCCTGCAGCACCTGGGAGCTGCTCCCTTTGCAGCTGCTGTCCCTGTTTGTGCTGGGAGGGTCAGGGACGGACACGTCTGTGTGTCTGTCCAGCAGCCAGCAGTGGCTGGGCAGAGTTAGAACGAGCTCATCCTCCTCCTCTGCTCAGCCTGCGTGCTGAGTCCAGCTCTGGCTCAGTTCCAGACACGGACACGCTGGGGAGCCCAGGAAGCTGCTGAAGGGGCTGGGGCATCACTGCTCCAGGGACAGGGGAGGGAACAGGGCAGCTCACCCTGCAGCAGGGACCCTGTCCGTGGCTACAAAGACCTGCAGGGGAGGTGCCCAGAGGCCAGGAGCACAAGGAGGCACCCTCTGAGTGTGAGGAAACACTGCTTCACTGTGAATGTGTGGAGTTCCTGTGAGCAGAGACTCCAAAGTACCTGGACACAGTCCTGGGCATCTGGTGCCAGGCTTTGAGCAGGGAGAGGGGCTGGACAGAGACCTCCAGAAATCCTTTCCAGCCTCAACCAGTCCTTTTGGTTACATGGAGCCTGCAATTCCCACAGCAGCAATGATCCCCTCCCCAGAACACAGGATGTTTGTGTCACTGCTAATCACAGGTGAGAGCAGTGGGTCTCTGAGGTGTCAGGGGATACATAAATCCCAAGAGGATGTTCCAAACCCAAATTTCTGTCTGAAGCAGCAACATGCCAGAGAGATGGTGTCCTCTGACATTCCAGGCTCGTTTCACACACCAGTTTGGTGGTGATCCTGTTTCTCACAAGCCCTGCCGACTCCTAGAGCCATACTGCAGTGAACAGCTCCTGTGAGGCCGATCACCCAGCAGTGAGAATTGAGAGGAACCAGAGTGAAGGATCTCTGCCAAGGGCTGGGAAGCCTCAGCTCATTGCTCTCCATGAGGGTGATACCAGCTCCAAATCACAGAACTCTCCCTCCCCCAGGAAAATAGCCAGGATAGCAAAAGTGACAAAAACCGTGAACATTACAGTTTTTGAACACAGGATTACACTGACACTTCAGAGAAACAAAAAGGTGTTATGTAAGTCACACTCTTTGTCTCCCTGCTTCTGACCTTGAACATGGGAGGGGCCATGACCCAGAATCTGCCACCTCAAACTGTTCCCTTGTGCTCCAGCACAACCTCCATTTCACATCCAGACAAACTAGAAAAAAAAGGTTTTATTATAGCTTTTTCTATATAAATAGAAAAAAAGCAGCATTTTAGTGAGGTGAAACCCTCAGCCTGGGTTTCAGCTGGGTGAGGGCTGATGCTGGACCCAAACTGAGCAGATGAAGGCATCCCCATGACATTCTGAGGGAGGGGCTGTGTCCCCCCAGACCTCCAGGGCCTCTCAGTTCATTTTCTTGCGCTTGCGCTGCCCCTCTGGTGCCTTCTGCGTGGGCAGGGGCAGGGACAGGGTGCCCAGCTTGTGGTTCTGGTCATTCTCCAGCCCTGGCACCCCCTTGGCCTTGGACACCCTGAGCCGCAGGGCCTTGGCGATGTCCAGGATCCTGGGAAACAGGAGAGATGGCATCAGGGGGGCTGAGCCCCTGTGGCTGACCCCGCAGGGGCCCACAGCCCGGCAGGGCCCGGAGGGGTCTCTGTGCACAGGGGTGCCCTGGAGGCAGCAGCTGGAGCCCTCCTGGGGACAGGGCACTGCTGCATTTCCAGCGGTCCCAGCCTGCTCCTTGCTTTCCCCACAGCACCCAAGGCCCCACAGCACATCCCAAACCTGGGCATCAACTGCCAAAGCCAGCGTGGACTCCTGGAAAAGCTTAGCCCCAGAAAGAAAAAGGGAAAATGGACGGAAACCAACAGCAGACTGCTTTTAAACCCACTAACTCCACCACTTCTGATCAAAGAATATAACGGGCAAAGCAAGTGGTGGCATCAAAACCAATGAGAAAGCTTGAAAACCAAGAAGTGACCAAAGGTTTTGGTAAGATCCAGTAAAAACTAAAGTTTTGGCCAGAAAGCCTGATCCAATGAACTCTGCAGGGCCAAGGACAGGAGCACAGCTGGAGCAGAGCTGCAGCTGCCAGGTGATTCCTGGGAAATGCAGGTCCTGCACCCACAGACAACTGCCTCTCCTTGCCTGGGAAATTAAAGCCCTCCCCAGGTCCAGAGACAGTCCCGAGCCCCCCAAGGGTCTTTGGGTAGGAGGATCCTGGCAGGTGTGAAGGAACAGGATGGCTCACCTGCTCTCTGAGAGCTTCATGTCGTTCTGCAGGACGGTGAGATCCGTCTGGAAGTTGTTAATGTGCAAAGCCAGGGCAATGACATAGGCGGTGATTTTAGCCTTCATGGATGCAGAGATCAAATTCTGGATGCTGTGTGGCAAGAGGGAGAACTCGTGAGATGTGCAGCGTAAGGGCCTTCCTGATGGTGTGTCTGTGGCCCCTCAAGCTGAGCTCTGCCAGGCCTGTGCCTCAGGAGCATCACACACCATCCCTTACCTGCCGTTGTTGTAGGTCAGCGAGGTGAAATTCTTCATGAGTTTCTTGCTGATGATGTGTGGGCACTCAGGACCCATTGGATCTAGGGCAGAAAGGGGCTTTGCAGTGGAATGAGAAGACACACGCTACCTTGCACTGCCCACCCACCACAGCAGCACGTGTCTCACCCTGACACTCAGCCTGGGACGTCAGAATACCCACGGGGATCACGGAGTCCAGCCCGGGAATCCCACCACTTAGTGCCTCTTCCCAGGAACACAACAAACCTAAAACGAACCTCGGTGCTTCCTTTCTAGGTCTCTCACTTTCTGAGGCCTGAGAGAATCCCAACAGCTTTTATTTCCTCAGTAAAAGCAGTCTCCCAGTTCCACACTGTGCAATCTAAAATGCACACACACCTATGCATTATTCTTTTTGCCACAAAACACTGTTAAAGCTGAGACCACGCTAACCAGTCCCTACCACCACCAAGTTTAGTCATTCCCACATTCTCCTTGGACAAGTCCCATGGGTGACTGCTGTGTCTCAGCAATGCAGGAAGATATTTAAAGCCAGGCTTGCCACTTCCTCCTCCCTCAGCTCTGCCAAGGACTGACAAAGACACACGAGTTCTAAGGAGGATGGCAAGTCTGGAAAAATCTCAACCAAAATGTTTTGTGTGGTGCTGTTTCCTGAGCAGGACCCTGAGCAAGGCAGAGGTATGACCCACACACTCAGCTGGCGAGCAAAGGATGATGAAGACTTTCCCAAAAACATGTGTTTATGAGCTGAAAACTCTCTTACGCTTCTTCTTGATCACTTTCTGCTGACTGAACTTGATGAGGGTGTCCAGGAACCAGAGGCATCGGGCTTTGTGGTCCCTGCTCTTCTCATCAGTGGGCAGGAACTTCAGCTCCTCCAAAACGAAGGAGCAGAGGCTGCAGGGAGGAGAGGGGGAGTTCAGCTGCCCAGAGGGCCCCTTGCGGCTGTGCACAGCGGCGTCCCCCACGCTCCCCGAGGCAGGGGCTGCTCTGCCACGCCTGGATGCCATGTCCTCCCTGTGCCCCGAGCTGTGGCACTGGCAGCAGCAGCCCCAGTGCCCCTCAGGCAGGACGTGGCCCCCGGCAGGGCCTTACCTTCTCTCCTCTGCTCTCTTGGCCATCTCCTCCGCGGTGGCGCTGGCCAGGGCGGCTGCTGGCACCCGCAGCGCCTCGTACTCGGCAGGAGACAGCACTGGCAGGATGGTAAGGAAAAGAACCTGGCCTCGCCCTTCCAGGCAGGGCAGTTCTGCCCACACTCACCTGACAAGTGGGCAGGGCAAGGGGATGGACCCGTCCAGGAACCAGGGCCTCTCACAGGCATCCTGCTCTCCAAAGCAAAGGGGCAGGACACAGCACCTGCAGGCCCCAAAACGCAGGGCAGCCCCAACACCTCGCTCCCAGCTCTTGGCCTGTGAGGGCAGAGGCTCAACGTGCCCCAACAGCCCAGGTGGCTGCATGGCACAGAAAAGATACAGTCCTCAAACTTGTAGACGTGCTCCGGCCGGTCGGCGTCCTCGTGGCAGGGCGGGAGGAAGGCAGAGATGTTCTGCACATCATCCTGGGCCATGTCCTGCATCAGAGCTTGGGAGGGAAGCGGGACAGGAGCGTTTGGATCATGATAGCCAAAGTGCAGAGAACAGCAACGCAACCCAAATCCTTTAGAAGCAAGTTTACTCAAATGGGTCAACACTACTTTAGTCACAATTGTAGTTTTAAACATTTAAAACTTCTATCAAGAACCTTCTGGTTCTGGTCATAAAAATTTAGAAAGACCAGTCCAGACTAGAGAAACATCTAGGAAAGAAGGGCACCAAGATGTGGGCAGAGCACGGTTTTGGCACCTGTGTTGCAGTGGAAACCCACTTGGCACAAAGCAGCTCTGAGAGCACAGTCAATATCCACCCCTGGAAGGGGTGAAAGGTGGTGGGGTCTACAGTCCACAGACATCTCTCCTGTTCGTGCCTGTGGCACTCCCAGGATCCCAGAAGTGCTCTGGAGAGGTCTTGTCTGCCCTCCCTCCCAGATGTCCATAGTCAGGGCAGCCCCAGCTCTCTCCTACCACAGCTCGGAAGCCCCCAGGGATGGTGACACCACACTGTGCTGTGTCCCAAGGCTGCACTGCTCTCTGAGGTAAGAAGGAGCCTTTTCAACAGCCATGCCACAGAGCTCAGACCAGCCAAGGGCACTGCCTTTATGCCAGTGAAGCCATATCCCACAGGAGCTTCCAAAGCAGGCAGGATGGACACTGATGTCACAGGGACCTTCCCTCATTCAGGTAACTCCAACACCAAGCCCAGCAGGACCAGGAAGCAGCAGCTCCTCTACACATACCCATCTCAGCTGTTGAACCAGCTACCTCCTCATCACTTAAAGAAAACCCCTCTTCTTCCTGCCACACCTGGCATGGACAGACAGCAAAAGGCACTTCAGGTTGTCCTGATGACAGCCCGAGACAGAATCCTCTCACCTGTCACTCCCTTGGCATCTATGACGTTGGCAGCTGCTTTTGTCACAGCCGTGCTGACGATGTCGCTGCCCACGGCGTTCATGCGGCGAGAGCTCAGAGCTCGCTTCTGCTTGCTGGTTCCGAAGGCCTCAATGCACAGATCCATCTGCACAAGGCACAACACGCTCTGAAACACCCCGTGCACCCAGGGGAACACAAACCCCGCTGCTCCTTCCACAGACACGGCCTCTAACAGAGCTGCAAACTCCCCACGAGCCAAAACCCGCAGGCGCAGGGCGCGCTGGTCTGCCAGGGCAGGAGGTCACTGGGGTGGTGACCAGCCTGGAACAACCAGGAAAACCAGGGGAACACTCCTGAGCCAGGCAATGCCTGTGCTGCCTCCTGGTTTACCCTGCAGGACAGCAGCCTCCCTGCCAGCTGGACAGTCACAGCAGAGCATGACACAGCTTTCCACTTTACCTTCTCCCTGTAGGATTTCTTCTGGTACTCCTTTGTGTCGTCAGGCATCACGTTATCTGCAAAACAACAACAGTTACTGTGCCTGGGCAGCCAGGACAGGAATTCCTTTAGTCCTGCGACTGACAGACTTGGCACAGGATCTCCTCCATGTGACCTGGGTAATTAAAGGACACACCAAATATGAGAACCTGGGAAAAAAAGGCTTTTTCTACAAAGCCCACATGGACCATGGCCAGACCCATGTCCTGCTGCACAGGGTAAAAATCAGCTACCAAAAGATGTGATCTTTTGGGTTCTTATCCTGGGGTCAATGAAAAAGAACAGTCCTGCTGGATAAAACCTGTTTTGGGGTTGTTTTTGTTATTTTGGTTATTCAGGGGTCCAATTCCTGATGAGTCTCAGGCCTCCCTCAGCAGAACACACCCAGACAAGGCTGCACTTGAGCAGTGACACTCTGTGAGTGACTCCCACCCTCCACACTCAGCCTGTGCTCCCCTCTCCTGGCATGCACAAGTGAAGGAATTGTCCTTGCTGCCTGCCAAGGGAACAAGGCAGCAGGGACAAGGACAGAGCCACCCAGCAGCTGTGACTCCCAGCACCTCCCACCTGAGAGCAGGGGCTGCATGTTGAATATTTCAGCATTGTAGACCTCCATCTGCCCAGAGCTCTTGTCTAGCACTCCAACAAAGTACCTGGGGAGAATGGGGGCAGTTGATTAGTGAGAGGCAGAGCAGTGGAAATTATTTGAATTACATGGTCTTCTCACACCCCAGCAGCTCTCCCACCCTGCACATACAGCACTGTGATAAACCAGGTTACCTCCAAGGCATGTGTACATATAGAAACAGAAAGACTTGATACTCTAAGTAAATGCACAAGTCTTGAATCCACTGAATTAGGTAATGTGTGGGTGCCAGAGTCCTGCTGTTTTCTTTTCTCTTTTTTTTGCTATGCCAGGACTTGATGGCCATGGCTTGAACAACACCAAATTTCCAAACTTCTTCCCAGAGCCCTGGATCTCCAGAGGTGCAGGCAAGCAGCACTTCAGCCCCCAGAACCACCTGTTCACAGTGTTCAGAGGCAGGAGCACTTAAATCTGCCCGCAAACAATACTGAATTAAGACCTGCAACTCACACGTTTGTCAAACTGCATTTATCTCTCCAAACCCGAGCAGAAACACACCCCTGGTGCTCTTTTTTCAGCTGCAGCATCTCACAGTGGACACTGCCCCATGCGAGGCTCCATCCCTGCTGGGGGCACTGCTCAGCCAGGACAGAGGCTGCTGTGGCTGTGCTCTGACAGGCTCTGCAGAGGGAGGCCAGGTCCTGGTGCAGAACTGCAGAACACCTCAGCTGCAAGCGCCCCAAACAATGACCCTGCAGCACTGACCAGCTGCTGGTAAAGGCAGCTCCTCCATCCTAGCTTCTAGGAAACAGAGCTCCATCCTGCTGCACCACTCCATACCCTCACCCCAGACGTCACAAAGTGTTTTCAACCTGGTCAGATTTACACACCACAGCTTCCACCGGGTGTGCAGGAACAGCCAGAGCTCCGTGCCCAGGGAGGAGCCCTGAGGCAGGCAAGGGAAGGGAGCAGGAGCTCTGAGTGTGAGCAGCCCTGTGCCCCTGCTCCGTACCTGCACAGGGAGTTGCACTTTGTGGCCTGGCTGCCAAAGTTGTGTCCCACGTAGCAGAGCCGCTCCGTCTCCGAGACCTGGGGAAGCAGAGAAACCCTTGGAAAGGCTGAGGGAAAGCAGGAGAGCTCCTTGGAAAGGCTGAGGGAAAGCAGGAGAGCTCCTTGGAAAGGCTGAGGGAAAGCAGAGAAACCCTTGGAAGGCTGAGGGAGCCCAGTGCCAGTGCTCTGCCCTGGCAGAGGGGATCAGCACAGCACTCCTGCCCACCCCCAGTGCTGCAGTTTAAATTTGGTTTCCAGGGGTTCATTTCAGCTCCAGCATTGGAAGTGCCTGCAGTTCTGCAGCTGCAAAGCCAGAGGCAGACTAGCAGGAGTGCCCCAGCCACCTGCAGGTATCTTCATGAGAATGTGTTGGCTTCTCTGCTCTGCAGAAAGATTGCTGCAGTGAATTTCCCCCAGGGATTTGGCTGGAAAGCCCTGTGTTCTTTGGGAGGAGAGGATGTAAAGATCAGCAGCAGCTCCCTCTGATGGGGGGCTCAGCTCCCCCTCACAGAGACGCCCTGTGATGCACTGAGCTGCACAAAGACACCTGAGGAGCAGGTTTCCCAGCGAGGGCAGAACACAGGGGATCCCATCACCCAAGGCAGCCCAGCAGCTGGAAGCAGCTCCTGTTGCCAGCCAGGGGCTGTGCACCAATCACCAGCGGGGCAGGACTGCCAGGAACGTGCCTTGAGCTGTTTATTCCCAGCATCAGCCTCACTCCATGGTCATGGCAATGGCAAGAAGCCAGCAGCTCACAGCCCAGGCAGCAGACACAGAACTTAATGCTACAACTCACTTTGTAAGTGTTTTGAGCATCACACAAAGCAAAAGCACATTGACAGTAGTTCCGTCCAGCCACTACAGGCACACGTACCTTTTGTTAAAACATGCTTATTTTGAATACAATACCTGCTTTTGATGCTCTGTGCATTAAAACACAATGCACAGAGCTCCATTATCAAGCTGAGAACTCCTGCCACCGTGATATTTAATGAACAATCCTCTGCCAGGATTTTCCCCTCCTGAGGAGCTGAGGGCCTCAGGAGAGAAATGCAAACAATAACTGTGTGCTGCTGTGGAATGCAGCAGGTGCAGCTGGGATTGGTGCATGTTGGGTTTGTATTTAAAAGCCAGTCACAGATGCAGCTGCATCAGACTCTGAGAGTCACAAGATTCTGTAATTCTATTCTATTCTTGTTCTTTCAAGCCCTCTGATGATCTTTTCTCTCTGTTCTTTCAGTATAGCTGTAATGTAGTATTTTAATGTATATCCTAAGATAATAAATCAGCCTTCTGAGGAAATGGAGTCAGGCCTCGTGTCTCCACACACGGGGAGCTCCCAACAAACTCCCCAACATCTCACCACACTTTTCTGCAGCTTAGGGAGTTATTCTAGACAAGAGTTAATACACAGACCATTGTTCCATTTGTCCTTACTTTTCCACTTCTTACATAATTTTCTTGCTGACATATTTTATGGCTGCTGCTGAGCTCTAAGCTCAGTTTTGCTGTCTCTGAAGCCAGCCTTTTGCAGCTTTCCCAAACCCCTCTGATTTTATGGATCCCCACAGCTCCCCATGGTTCAGCTTGTCCCTGTTCTGCCAGCTCCCCCCTGCAGTGTCCCTCAGGAATGGCAGTGACAGGGACACTCCCCTGGAACACATCCCTGTGCAACATGCTGGGCTGAACCCTGACTGTTTAACACAAATCCGCTGCAAAGCTCAGCAGAGATTTCACAATCCCAGAGTGGTTTGGGTCACAAGAGCCCTCAGAGCCCCTCCAGTGCCACCCCAGCCACGGCAGGGCCACTTTCCCTGTCCCCCAGTGTCCAGCCAGGCTTGGGCACTGCCAGGGATCCAGGGGCAGCCCCAGCTGCTCTGGGCACCCTGGAGTTCCTCGCTCCAGCGGCAGGGAGCTGCTGGGGCCGCAGCCCGGAGGGCAAGCCGGGATCGCGCCCTCCGCAGCAGGAGCTGCTCGGCGGGATGTCAGCCGGGAACTCCCTGGGTAATTAATAACCTGGGCAATTAATAACTCTTGTACTTGCAGCCCGTTACAGCCGCTAGCCGTTGCCCCGCTGTGCACCGCTGTCACGCAGCCCCGCGCTGCGCGGCCGCTGTCCCGGAGCCTCACCACGATCCGGCGGTGCCTCTTGCGGGGGTGCGCCGAGTCCCGGTTCCGGTACACCGTGAAGCGCAGCGACTCGGGCCGCTCCAGCCGCCCGTTGGCGAACCGCACTGCGGGAGAGGAAGCCCGTGAGAGCCGGGCCCGGCCGCGATCCCCGAGCGGCCCGAGACCCGCCCCACGGCCCGGCCCCGCTCACCGAGCGCCGCCGGCCGCTCGCCCTCGGGGTCCCCGCGGTAGCGCCAGGTGGCGGTGGCCATGGCGGGGGCTGAGCGAGGCGCTGCCTGGGGATGGCGGCGCGGATGGCGATGGCGGCGCCGCTCCTCCGCCTCTTCCGCCGCTGCCTCCCGTCGTGGCAATAAGCTCAGCCCCGATTGGGTCCGGTGAGACCTCCGCCGCGGCGTAGAAGTAACGAGGCCGCCGATTGGCTATCAGCAGGGCCCGCGCCGCCAGCGGCCGGAAGTGACGCGCTGTGTCGGCGCGGCGCGGCGGGGCGGGGCGGGCGGGGCCGGAGCGGCGGGAGCGGGGCCGGGGCCGAGCCCAGTCCCAGGCCTAGGCCCGATCCCAGGCCCGAGCCCAGCCCCGAGCCTCCACGGCCCTTCCCGCACGGACACCGCAGGTGAGCGGGGCGGGGGGCGGCGGCGAGGCGGAGACCGGTGGTCACAGCGTCGGGCGGGCCCGGGGCTCCCCGGTGTCCCCGTTATGTCCCGTGTGCGGCACAGAACGCAGTCCCCGGGTGCGGGCTGCCCGGGCTGGTGCCGCGCTGGGACGCCTCTCTGGGAGGGGCACGCATCTTGGCTGTTCCAGGTGACGCGAGAAGGAAAAATCGGGGAAAATAAGGCAGTGTTTGGGAAGAGCGCCTTTCGGCAGGAGACCCGCGGCGACCGGCGGCAGTTACCGTTCCGCACTTCTCAAAGGCTTTGCATGACTTAATTTCCCCGTGCTGAGTATTCCGGGGGTAACTGTGAGTGAGCTCCCTGTTGTGACTCCATCCAAGGACACTCGGGGGGATTCCTGGGATGTCCCGGGCACGGCGAGGAGCTGCCCGGCAGAGACAGGGATGGCAGGAAGCAAAAAGCAGCAAACGCGTCCCTGTTTGAGGATGGACTTTCTCAGTCGGCCGAGTTCCACTTGATCCCTCCTCAAAAGTACGATTCTGGCCATGTGACCTTTTTTTGGCTGGTTTGTGGTCTTGTGCCCTTTGGTGTTGTCTTGTCGCTGCTGGAAGATAAACGTGAGCACAGGGTTCTGTGTGTGTGCCCGTGAGCAGCCTTTCTGCCCTCCAGATCTCACGCTCTGCTGTTGAACCCTGAGGAGAAGTCAGGGTATTGAGGGTCACCCACGCAGTGTTGAATGACTCCCCTGAGACAGGACTGGTGCTGTGTTAGTGAGAATTAGAGAAGGAACCAGCCTGCCTGCTTGTCTCGCTGAGCAGCGCCTTGCCTTGCCTTGCCAGCAGCCGGGGTGTTCCTGTGGAGGGTTGCCACCTCTGTGAGCAGCACGTTGGTCCTGTAATCTGACTTTCTTACAAGCCAGGACTGAGTGTTTTGCTCACGGGAGTGAGGTGCCCCACGTTGCCCAGCTCCAGCACGGCTGCGTGGTGCTGAGCTCAGCTCTGTGGCAGAACCTGGGCTTTCACTGCTCTTCCTTGTCCTCCAGACTGCGGCCTCTGGTCCTGTGCCCATGTGGTGGTGGTGCACTCAGGCCAGTTTCTGTTTGTCTGTCAGCTGCCACCTTTTGTCCTCACTGCCAGGTTCACTGCAGCCCGACCAGCCGTAGGATCATACAGCACTTTGGGTTGGGAGGGCACCTTGTCTTGCCCCTCCGCTGCCACAGCAGGGATGCCTCCCACTGTCCCAGGCTGCTCCAGCCCCAGTGCCCAGCCTGGCCTTGGGCACTGCCAGGGATCCAGGGGCAGCCCCAGCTGTGCCAGGGCCTGCCCACCCTGCCAGGGAGCAATCCCCTCCTCTGCTGCTGTCTTTCAATTTGAGCCCACTCCCTTTTCTCCTTCGCTGCAGACTCCTAAATAGTCTCGTCCCACCCTCAGTGTAGCCCCTTCAGAGCTGAAGGGCACGGTGAGGTCCCCCTGCAGCCCTCCCTTCTGCGGGCTGGCCAGCCCCAGTTCCCTTGCCCCGTGCTCACTGCGCAGCTGCTCCGCCGCTCTGCTCCGCCTGGTGGCCCACACAGCGCTCCTTTGTGTTTTGCAGGATCATGGATTTCCCAGGGCACTTTGAACAGGTCTTCCAGCAGCTCAACTACCAGAGGCTGCACGGGCAGCTGTGCGACTGCGTCATCGTGGTGGGCAACCGGCACTTCAAGGCGCACCGCTCGGTGCTGGCCGCCTGCAGCACGCACTTCCGCGCGCTCTTCACCGTGGCCGAGGGTGACCAGACCATGAACATGATCCAGCTGGACAGCGAGGTGGTGACGGCCGAGGCCTTCGCCGCGCTCATCGACATGATGTACACCTCCACGCTGATGCTGGGCGAGAGCAACGTGATGGACGTGCTGCTGGCCGCCTCCCACCTGCACCTCAACTCGGTGGTGAAGGCCTGCAAGCACTACCTGACCACGCGGACGCTGCCGCTGTCGCCGCCCAGCGAGCGCGCGCAGGAGCAGAGCGCGCGGCTGCAGCGCTCCTTCATGCTGCAGCAGCTGGGGCTCAGCATCGTCAGCTCGGCGCTGGGCTCCTCGCAGGGCGCCGAGGAGCCGCCCGGCGCCATGGGCGCGGCGCTGCGCGGCGGGCTGGAGCAGCGCGCCGCCTTCCCCATGCGCCGCCTGCACAAGCGCAAGCAGTCCTCCGAGGAGCGCGCCCGCCAGCGCATCCGGCCCGCCATGGACGAGCCCGTGGCCGACGTGGCTGCCGAGAGCGGGCAGCCCGTGGTGCACTCGAGGGAGGATTTCTTCTCTCCCGACTCGCTGAAGATCGTGGACAACCCCAAGGCCGACACGGTTGCCGATAACCAGGAGGACAACACGATCATGTTTGACCAGTCTTTCGGTGCTCAGGAGGATGCTCAAGTGCCCAGCCAGTCAGACAACGGCGGGGGGAACATCTCCCAGATGTCCATGGCGTCCCAGGCCACGCAGGTGGAAACCAGCTTCGACCAGGAGGCTGCTGCTGAGAAGAGCAACTTCCCGTGTGAAAATCCGGAGGTCAGCCTCAATGAGAAGGAGCACATGAGGGTGGTGGTGAAGTCTGAGCCGCTGAGCTCCCCGGAGCCTCAGGATGAGGTGAGCGATGTCACCTCCCAGGCGGAGGGCAGCGAGTCGGTGGAGGTGGAAGGAGGAGTGGTGAGTGCAGAGAAGATAGAGCTGAGTCCCGAGAGCAGTGACCGCAGCTTCTCGGACCCTCAGTCCAGCACCGACAGGGTGGGAGACATCCACATCATGGACGTGTCCAACAACCTGGAGCACAAGTCTTCTTTCAGCATTTCAAATTTTTTGAATAAAAGCAGGGGAGGTGGCTTTGGCACCAGCCAAAACAACGACGACAACATTCCCAACACCACCAGTGACTGCAGGATGGACAGCGACGCCCCTTACCTGATGAGCCCGGAGTCGGGGCCCGCCGGTGGCCACTCCTCTGCCGCCGTCTCGCACGTGGAGAACCCGTTCAGTGAGCCCGCGGACTCCCACTTTGTGAGGCCCATGCAGGATGTGATGGGCCTGCCCTGCGTGCAGACCTCCGGCTACCGAGCAGCGGAGCAGTTCGGCATGGATTTCCCCCGCTCAGGCCTGGGCTTGCACTCGCTGTCTCGGGCCATGATGGGCTCTGTGAGAGGCGGAGCTGGTGGCTTTCCTGGCTACCGCCGCATCGCCCCCAAAATGCCCGTGGTGACCTCTGTGCGGGGCTCGCAGCTGCAGGAGAGCTCCTCGGGCTCGCAGCTGATGATGAACGGGAGCACGTCCTTCGAGGGCGGGCACCTGTCGCAGCCGGGCCCGCCGCAGCTGACGCGCGCCTCGGCCGACGTGCTGTCCAAGTGCAAGAAGGCTCTGTCGGAGCACAACGTGCTGGTGGTGGAGGGCGCGCGCAAGTACGCCTGCAAGATCTGCTGCAAGACCTTCCTGACGCTGACGGACTGCAAGAAGCACATCCGCGTGCACACGGGGGAGAAGCCCTACGCCTGCCTCAAGTGCGGCAAGCGCTTCAGCCAGTCCAGCCACCTCTACAAACACTCTAAGACCACCTGCCTCAGGTGGCAGAGCAGCAACCTGCCCAGCAGTTTGCTGTGAGCTGCCGGCCCGGCGCGGAGGAGCCCCGCCGCCGGCGGGGACGGGCGGGCGCACACCGGCGTGCCACGGTGCCAAACACAGTCTTGGCTCTGCCATTGGGGATATCCGGTACCTACCTCGCGGGTGTCGCCGCCAGAGCCGCGCGGCGGGATGGGGATGAGACCCCACGGGTGGGGATGAGACCCCACGGGCGGGGATGAGACCCCATGGGTGGGGATGAGACCCCACTGTGGGGATGAGACCCCACGGGTGGGGATGAGACCCCACGGATGGGGATGAGACCCCACGGCGGGATGGGGATGAGACCCCACTGTGGGGGCGGGGATGTGACCCCACGGCGAAGAGCCCCTTTGCAGGGCAGAGGGGTGACAGCACGGGGGTCTCCTGAAATAGCACGGTTTGAGAACAGCGAACTGACGTGCGTGTTTCTTTTTTTTTTCTTTTTCCTTCTCTCTAAAGCATTTTGTAACAGTGAAAGCATTTAAATGATTACTGTAACATGAGTTGCTGCATTACGTGAGGATGGTGGTGCAGAGCCCTTACCTTTAAAAGAGAAAAACGGCTTAGGCTGCACCTGTCTGACATAATGCTTTAAAATATGCTAATTATGACAATAGTTCTAGGATTATGAATGTATGTTTGGCTGTTTTGTAGTAAAGGACACTGTGTAATCAAGGTGCTTAAATTAAATCCCAGACAAGTAACTTCTGGACTGCCAGGTGTACATATAACTTTAATACAGCAAGATCTGGATATTTGGCTGGTTTTTTTTCCTGTAGAAACGAGTATTAAGTGGTAAGTGAAGTACTGTCTGTTGTTTGTGCTATTCCTAGCAGTATTTTAACCAGTTTGTATCTCCTATGTTACAATTCTATATATGCAGAAGTTTGAGCAGAGCTTGTCTTTGTCTGTCGTTTTGAAGGAGAGGGAATCTGTGCTGGCTTTTTTGGCCACGGAAGGCAAGCAGCATCTGGCTGCTGCCAGATGCCCACAGTGCATCTGGTCCCCGTTATGGCGTGAGCATGTTGTCTTTTCCTCTTATCTCCAGGCTTTAATTTCCTGCCCGGCACGCTGGGCGACTTCCCTTGGCAGCTGTGCATCTGTCCTTGGAGCACGTGGCTGCTAGGTCAGGAGCAGTCCTGCTTTGCCATATTGCACAGAGTCACAGGCTGTGCTCAGCTGGAAGGGAGCCCTCGGGATCACTGTCCAGCTCCTGGCCTTGCCGAGGATACCCCAACAATCCCATCTTGTGCCTGACACTTCTTCACCTCAGGCAGCCTTGGGGTTGTGACCCCATCCCTGGGGATCTTGTTCAGTGCCAGACCACCCCTCTGGGTGAAAAGCCTTTCTGGTAGCCAACCTAAACCTCCCCTGACTCGCCTTCAGCCGTTCTCTCACGTCCTGTCACTGGTCACCAGAGTGAGGAGGTCTGTACCTGCCCCTCTGCTGCTCCTCAGGAGGATGATGAGGAGGATGAAGACCCCGGTGAGGTCTGACCTCAGTGCCCTCTCCTCCAGGCTGAGCAAACCAAGTGCCCTCAGCTGCTCCTCGTAAAGCTTCCTCTCCACTGCCCTCAGCAAGCCCACGGCCTCCTTTGGACAGGCTCTGACAGCTGAATGTCTGCATGATGGTGCTCACACTGCCCCAGCACCTGAGGGGAGGCTGCCCCAGAGCAGAGCAGAGCAGAGCAGGACCCCCTCCTCACCCTGCTGCTGACACCCCCAGGACATGACTGGCCCTCCTGGCTGCCAGGGCACGGCTGGCTCACATTCTGTAAAATGTCCTTGTCAAATCCACTTAAGCTAGTGTCATAAAAGTACTTTCCCCCTTACGTTTAAAAAAAGCTAATGTGAAATTAATTTTAAAGAAATGGCACTGTACACACACAGCAGAAAGTGGTCTTTTTCCACAAAAGTCATGTAAAATGACTTTTTAATTTCCTCTTCTTTGGCGCCACCGTCACTTAACACTGCCTGCAGTCTCCTTTCTTCCTTGTCAAAGGTGCACACGAACTGGGCTCAGCATTCTTGAGTTTTAAAATAAACTTTCAGAGCATTTGTGCTGATGGAGACCCAGGGGCTGGGTCCAGGCTGCAGCATGTCCTGCTCAGGTGAGACAGAGGACTCCCTGCACCTGCCCTGTCAGCCTGTCTTGCACCTTGACCATCTGAGGAGTGCAGAAACACAGGAGAGGTTGGATTAATTCCTTTAAAGTGTTAATATTTTGTTATAGGGTTTACTTAATGATCATATATCTGGCTCTTGATTTTTTTTTTCTTTTTTTTAAGCATTAAAGTAACACTTTTTTAAAGCAGTGGGATATGCTGTGTTTTGTTTTAAATAATCTCAGTACTGGGGACTAACAGCATTGAGCTGCATAAACACTCTCCCAAACATCAGTAAAATGCAGTATTTTGTACTTTAATATTTTCTTGTGTTGCTTTATTAAGTAACACTTTCATCTTTGTTGCATTTCTAGTGTTTTGCATTTCAAAAACAAGGCTTTTTTTTCCTGTTGTGTTTCCTGTAGCACATCCACATTTTTGAATTGTTGCAATGTTTTGGAATAAAGCATCTCTTTGTGCAGTGAGACTAACTTAACTAGGAACTAATACGAGCAGATAAACACTTGACTGCACTCTTGCAGTGTTTTTATCAGAATTTTAGCGTGGAATATCAGTGCAGGAGGACTTCTGTATTCTTTCTTTGTGAAGAAGTTTGGCAGTGCAGCTTTAAATTCCATGGTCGGTTGGTGTGAGCCCTGGGGCCTGCAGCTGCCTCTGCAGCTTCCTGAGTCTTCCTGAACAAAGCAATAAATTCCTGGGAATAGCACGAATGAACACCTGGGGCCTGAGCTGCCTGCTCCAGTGAAGGGTGTCCCACCCCACAGCCTGGAGAGCCTGTGCTGAGCTGAGCTCAGAGGGGAGCCTTGCACTGGGGTCTCGCGGGGAGCTGTGGGGCTGTCTGTTCCGAAGCACCTGGAAATAAACCCTGCATCTGCTGTGGCTGTGTCTGCCTGGCTTCACTGCTCGGGTGCTCTCCACAGCAGCCTGGACAGAAAAAATTGTGACTGCACAAGGGATCGTAACATCCTGACCTTGGTAGTAATTTTGTCCCCCGTAGAGTTCTCTGTATGACTGTTGTTAATGAAATAACATTTACAGAGCACCTGTAAAATTCACCATCCGTGGTCAGTGCTGCTCTCTGAATTCCTCATGGGAAGATGTCTCAGGTGCAGGAGGTGCTTGTCTCCAGGGAGCTCTGGGATGGACACCTGAGCCCAGTGCGCTGTGGCAGCTGATTGACCAGCTCATGGCTGTTTGTTACCACACCTGGGGAGCCTGACACAGCTGCTCAGACACCAGCTCCGTCCCTGTCACCACCAGGAGCCTCTCAGATGCTTGGTCACCATCCTTCAGTGTCACAGCAGCTCCACCAGCAGCACAATCTTCAGTGTCAGCACTAGGGAGTCTTGGGGAGCAGTGAGCTCCCCCCTGGACCTTGCCCTGGTTCCCACTGGGTCCTTTGGGAACTCCCAGCCAGCTGGGATGCCCAGAGCACACTCCCTCCTCACCACCACGGCCACCAGTCTTTCCTGCTCAGTCCAGGTTCCAAACCTCCAGAACTATTTCTGAGAGGCCAGCACAAGGCAGTCACATGCTTGTGAATCAAAAGCGTGATATTTATTACTATAAACGTGTCAGAATTCCTCCTGTGATGCAGGACAACTCCCCCAGCTGTTACTGCTATCAGAGTGCTTCACTGAGTGCCCAGAGATCCCAGCAGAGTGGCAAGGGGACAGGGACAGGACACGGGAAGGGACACGGGGTGTGCTGGCTGAGCCTCAGCTCTGGCTGCAGGCTGTGCCTGGGCCCTGGTTGTGGTGCCAGGGTTGTGGTACTGCCAGCTGCTCACCCCAGGACCCTTCCCTCCTGCCCCCTGCACGCTCCCCCCGTGCTGCTGGCCCCAAAAGCTCTGCTCCCCTGTCTGTCCCCTGCAGGCTGAGGGGCTTGTCCTGGGGCACAGCGGTGGGAAAACCTGTACAAACCCATCCCCGTGGGGCAGATCAGCCACTGGCACCACAGTGCAGCTGGGCACGCCACAGGGGCTGCTGTGGAGGCTGGTGGAGAGCCACAGCTGAAAAGGAACCTGAGCCCAGGGGTGCTCTTCAGCATGAGGAGCTGGTGTGGGATGGTGAGAGCGACCTCCAGAGCACACTGTGGGGACACCTGTGGGGTGGCTGGGGTGGGTAGCACTGCGTGGCTGTGACAGGGCTGTGACAGGGCTGTGACAGGGCTGTCCTGTCTGCCTCATGGTCACCGATGGTGGGAGGGCACACGGCGAGGGGCCATGGCAGGGCCAGGGCACATCCACGCCCCTGCTGCAGGGTGGGCCAGCTGGACCCCAGGCTCCTCAGCCTGAACGTGTCCAAGGCCGGGCTGGACAGGGCCTGCACCCCCTGGGACAGTGGAAGGTGTCCCTGCCCTCGGCAGGTGGGCTGGAATGAGATGATCCGTAAGGTCCCTGCCAAGCCAGCCCGTTCCATGATTCTGTGACAGTGGCACGGACAGGTGGGCTCAGGTTCCAGCCCCTTTGTGGGAGTGGGGCAGTGGCTGCAGGACACTTGGATCCCCAAAGCCCTCGGGATGTGCCCATCAGCCTCTCCTGCCCGTGGAGGCTCAGGCTCTGCTCAGGCTCTCCTCTGCACCAACAAATGTCACTGCACACGGCAGAACCACGAGGGCAGCCGCAGCCAGAGCCTACACAGGGGTGGCAGAACCTCCCAGTGAATTCCAGTTTGCCATCCACTCTGGAGCTGTGCCTGGGATTGCTTATGGATACAAAGGCAGAGCTGCAGGTTCCTGGGGAGCTGCACAAGCCTGTTCTGTGTTTTAATTTAGACCCCTCAAGCAGAGGCTGATGCAGTGCCACTGATGCCACAGGACCACCTGGTGTGTGGGCTGCAGCAGCTCCTGAGGCAGCAGCAGCCTGCATGGACACAGCTGCTCCCTCTCCTCCCTTCCTGGCTACGAGCCCAGGGGAAGCAGCCCTGGCCTCTCAGGGTGACAGCAGCTCCCTCAGGTACCTCCAGCATGGCAAGCATCCCCCGTGCAGGGCCAGCCCCTCCCCACGGCCTGCTGGCACCCGCAGAGTGCCCACCACATGCCCGGCTCTCAAATAACACCAGCACCACACCGTGCTTGGCTGCTGCTCTTTAATGGCTCCTGGCCACGCAGGGGGGACACAGGCTGGCGTCCCTCGGCGCTGCTGGAGCTGGGTCTGGCTGTCACCAGGGGCTGGCCATCGGGGTCTGGCTGTCATCGGGGTCTGGCCGTCATGGGGGGCTGGCCATCGGGGTCTGGCTGTCATTGGGGGCTGGCCATCGGGGTCTGGCCGTCATCGGGGGCTGGCCATTGGGGTCTGGCTGTCACCAGGGGCTGGCTGTCGGGGTCTGGCTGTCATCAGGGGCTGGCCATCGGGGTCTGGCTGTCACAGCTTCAGCTCGTGGGGCATGGGCTCCCCTCGCAGCCCGGCCAGCAGGTTCTGGGCTGCCAGCACGGCCATGGTGCTGCGCGTGGCGTACGTGGCGCTCCCGATGTGCGGCAGGATCACTGCGGGGACAGCAGGGACACTGCTCACCTCTCGCTGCCCCAGCAGGGCTGCCAGAGCTGCAGCACCCAGGCAGATGTTATTTGTGTATTAACAACAGCGTGGTATTGCTGCTGTAAGTAAGGCATTCAATAAGTACATGTGTACGAATGATGTCCTGCCTGGCCTTGTTTCAGAGATATCAAATCTCCAAGTCCTGCAAACATTTCCAGAAAGTCCCAGCTCTTATCACTCCTCACACTGTCTACTTTGAGAAACAATGCAAACAAATAAAAAACTAGTTTTAGCAAAAAGATAAAACAACAGCTACAGGTCTGTATTTCAGAAACAGAGACGTGGTCATGGGCAGTTCCAAATTTTCATGGATGTCCCTATGCTTTCTTTTTGGAACATACTTTTCCTACCCCAGAAACCCTCTCCCCTGGAGAGAGGACAGCCTGTGAGACACTGGCCAAGCAAGCTCCTTCCTCACCTGCATCATCCTCCTGCAGAGAAGCCAGGTCTCAGCCCTGGCCCTGCCCCGTGTCCCCCCTGCCCAGTGCTGAACCACCCAGCCAACAGGCTGCCCACGGCAGCACTCCCGGGACCAGGACTCCTCCAGGCACACCCAGCAGCCCACCGTCAGTCACTGGGGAACTTTTCCATCACAGTGTGTGCTCAGGAGCCCACAGAACACCCGAGCTGGGCAGGGCCTGAGCTGGGAGCTTTCTCTTTCATGCACCTGCTGATACCAGATCCTGCACAAATTTCACACATTCAACGAAGGGCCATCACAAAGCTTATCTCAATGGCTTTCTGGACAATTACAGCTCCCACACTTGTCTGGCATCACGTTGACGAGTTTTTACCCCACAGCAGCTCCCTGCATTGTACAGCAGCCCAGCTAAGCACAGCTGACCCGCCTGTCACTGGCAGACCAGTGGGGCCGGGGGTCCCTGTCACCCCTGGGGGAGGGCTCAGGCAGCCCCCACGCTCACCGCAGTTCCCGAGGGACAGCAGGGGGTGCTCAGGGGGCAGTGGCTCCGGCGTGGTCACGTCCAGCCCGGCCGCCGCGATGTGCCCGTGCGCCAAAGCCTCGTACAGGTCCTCCTGGTTCACCACAGCCCCCCTGCCAACGCCAGGCGAGGCTGTGTCACTGCTCAGGGTCCCACAGGCGCAGGGGTCCCCGGGACTGCCTGAGCAGAGCTCAGACCCCCCCTGGGTGTGCCTGGACCCCCCAGCAGAGAGCTGCCCCCGCTCCAGCTGCCCACACTGGGAAGAGCTGCATGCTCCTCGATATTTTATCTTGCCTTTGGCTCACTCCCAAGGGCCTTGGCAAATGCTCCCAGTGGCTGCAGCCATGAAGGCTGTCTGGACCCACAGATCCCCCCACACCCTCAGAGCTGTGGCAGGGCCACAGCCACTCTCCAGGCACGGCTCTGGGCTGCCAGTACCTGCTTGTGTTGACAAACACTGCACTCTTCTTCATCCTGCCGAAGAAGTCCTTGTTGCACATGCCCTGGGTAGCTGGTGTCAGGGCACAAGTGACCACCACGAAGTCTGACTCCTCGGCCAGCCTGGTGAGCGGCACTGAGGGGAGACCAGGGAGACACCCACTGCAGCCAGCCCTGCCCTCAGCAGAGCTCCAGGGGCAGCCCAGTCCCGGCAGGACAGCCTGGAACCCAGCCTGGGGACAGCCCACCGGAGCCTCCCTCCTGCCAGGAGCAGCTGCCACATTTTGCTCCCGTTCTCTGTCTCCAGCTTCCCTGTGGGAATGAAGCTGGCAGAACTGCCCGTGCAGGACACAGGGCAGGGGAACAGCAGCAGGACCAGCTGGGGTTCCCATAGTGCTGTGACGAGCCCCAGCTCGTCCTGGCAGTTCCTCACTGCCCCCTCGCCCTGGGAGCCCCCCAGCTCCCGCCCTGCAGGTGACAAGCCCTGTGAGTGACACCCCCGAGCTGTCCCAGCCCGCGTGCTGCCTGGCTGGTGCCTGGCACGGCCCTGCCCTGGCGCTGTCCTTACCAAACTCAGCCCCAAACTCTGCCGCGCTCTCGGGCTTGGGGCCGCTGCCGGTGTACAGGAACCTGCTGACCCCAAAGGGCTTCAGGCGCCGGGCAACTGCCTGTCCTAGGAGCGAGGAGGAAGGGGCTGGGCTGCTGCGGCTCACAGCACCCCAGGGACCAGCACCTGCCGGCTCTGAGGGGCTGCAGCAGCGGGGTCAGCCCGGCCCAGCTGTGGGGTGGGGCTGCAGACGTTCTGCTCTGGAAAGGGGCCCCGGACCCCGACCCCATGGCTGCCCTGGGGAGCAAGGACAGCGAGGGCTGCCCGCTGGCAAAGTCCACAGCTGGATGGTGCCGAGTGTCCTGTGGACTTTGCCACTGCGTTTGTGCAACCGAGGAGGCAGGATTGCAGCAGGGCTGGGGGTGGTGGGAGCACACGGCGCCTGAGGCTGCACGGCTGAGGCTGGCGAGCCAGCAGAGCTGCTGGCACAGGCTCTGCAGGCTCCCCTCGCCGTGCTCACGGGGCTTAGACAGCTGAGCACCCCGCCAGCACCTCGGCTGGGTCACAGAGCCCCAGCCCACACTGGGCTGGGAAACTCTGCAAAGACCATCTCATTGTAGCCCTCCCACCTCCAGCAGGGGCACCTGCAGTAGCCCAGGCTGAGGGTGAGGCTGCAAGCCCACCCTGCCACTGCTGGAGACGCAGGGATCAGCCCTGAGCTACCCTTACCGATCCTGCCCAGCCCGATGATGCCCACGGTGCTGTCGGACAGGCCGTACCCACACATCCACAGCGGCTTCCAGGTGGTCCAGCCGCCACTGCCAGGGACACAGGGACATGGAACGCTCAGAGCCCAGCCCAGGTGCTTGCTGTGAGCTGCATGAACCCCTGGCCCTGGTTACCAGCCCCGTGTCCCAGCCCTGTCCCAGCCCAAGTGTCACAGCCCTGGCTCCAGCCCCTTGTCACAGCCCTGGCTCCAGCCCCTTGTCACCAGCCCCTGTCCCAGCCCTGTCCCAGCCCGGGGCGCTCCCTCACCTGCGGACCTGCTGGGCAGCCTCGGGCAGCCGGCGGCAGGCGGACAGCAGCAGGGCCACGGTCAGCTCGGCGGTGGCGTCGGTCAGCACCTCGGGGGTGTACCCCACTCGGATCCCCCTGCCACCAGAGCGGGCTGGGGGCAGCCCTGGCTGCTGCCCGGCCAGCCCGTGCCCAGGGACATCCCTGCGGCTCAGCCCTCCTGCCACCCCCGGGCCCAGCCCTGGCGTGGCTGGGTGACCCCCGGGCAGCAGAGGGGTGCAGGGCTGACCTCAGCCCGCCCCGTGCCCCCGAGAGCCCACCTGCCCACAGGGACCAGCGGGATGTGGGTGTGCCGGGGAGGGGGTCCCGAGCTGGGGGCAGAGCAGCAGGGTCCCGCACGCACCGGCCGCGTCCAGCACCTCGCGGTCGATGCGGTCCGAGAGCAGGCAGAGCAGCCCGCTCGTCCCCGCCACGCCCGCCAGCAGCTCGGCCCGCGGCACCGGCTCCTCCGAGTCCCACTGCTGCACGCGGCACCTGCGGCACCGCCACCGTCACCCACCGGCACCGGCACCCGCACCGGCACCGGGACCCGCACCGGCACCGGGACCCGCACGGCACCGGGACCGCCACCGTCACCCACCGGCACCGGCACCGGGTCTGGCACCGTGACTGGCACCGGGACCCGCACCAGCACCGGGTCTGGCACCGAGACTGGCACCGGCACCGGGCCCCGCACCGGGCCCGCGGACAGTGTGGCCGAGCTCACCCGCTGGCCTGGGACAGCACCCGCAGCCCCTCGGCCGGGATCCGCCGCGTCACGAACACCGACATGGCCCGTGCCACCGCCACCGCCACCGCCGGGACAGCCCCGAGCCTCGGAACAGCGCGGGAACACCGGAACAGCGCGGGAACACCAGAACAGCCCGGGAACACCGGAACAGCGCCGAGCAGCCCCGGAATACCGGAACAGCCCGGGAACACCGGAACAGCCCCGGAACACCGGAACAGCGCCGAGCAGCCCGGGCACACCGGAACCGCCCGCCCGCCGCTCCGGGGCCGCTCCGCCCCGGGCCCGCCTCCTGCGCGCCCTGCGCTCGGCCGCCCGTACCTGAGCGGGCAGGTGTGCCATGCACAGGTGTGCCATACACGGACAAGTGTGCCATGTACAGACACGTGTGCCATGCACAGGTGTGCCATGCACAGACAGGTGTGCCATACACAGGTGTGCCATACACAGGTGTGCCATGCACTGGTGTGCCATGCACGGACAGGTGTGCCATGTACAGACAGGTGTGCCATAAACGGACAGGTGTGCCATGCACAGGTGTGCCATGCACAGACAGGTGTGCCATACACAGGTGTGTCATACTCAGGTGTGCCATGCACAGGTGTGCCATACACAGGTGTGCTATGCACGGACAGGTGTGCCATGCACGGACAGGTGTGCCATGCACAGAGGGGTGTGGCCATCCGCGGCATGGGGACATTCCTGCACAGCAAAAGGAGGCTCAGGGGGCCCTTGTGGCTCTGCACAGCTCCTGCCAGGAGGGGACAGCCGGGGGGTCGGGCTGTGCTCCAGGGAACAGGGACAGGAGGAGAGGGAACGGCCTCAGGCTGGGCCAGGGCAGCTCAGGGTGGGCACAGCAGGAATTTCCCCATGGAAAGGGGGCTCAGGAACTGCCTTGGCACTGCCCGGGGGCTCTGGAGTGCCCATCCCTGGAGATGTCACCTGGAGGTGGCACTCAGAGCCCTGGGGGTGTCCGTGGTGTCAGAGCTCCTGTGCAGCCTGGGGGATCCCCGGTGCTGTGACACCCACGTGCCTGCACACCCCTGTGCACACTCTCACACGCAGCCTGGTGCACCCGGCAGGACCCACCTGCCCGTACAGGTGTGCACATTCCTGCACACACACAGCGTCGGGGGCTCCTCTGGTGGCAGATTTGGGGCATCCCACAGGCTCTGGATGGGTTAACTGCCCGCTCTCACTGGGCTGTGAGATTCTGCTCGTTAATTAACCCAGATTTAAATTGTCTGCAGATCTGATTTGAAAAGGTTCTGTGGCTGCAGGTGTGGGGCAGGGAGGCCCAGGTGATCTCGGTAGTTAACAGAGCTGTGCTGCCCCTTGGAACGGGCACACAGGTGAGGGTGACACATCTGTGGAGAGGAAGGTGCAGTTTGAGGTACACGCACCAGGATGCTCCACGTGGGATTCATCCTGCTGCTGCAGGTGGGATTTCCCTTTAACGTGATGTACCACCAGCATGCTGCCGGATTATGCCAGCAGGATTGGTTTTATTTTTTAATAATTGCTGGAAAGTTTGCTTTATGCTGCTGAGCTGGGTGTCATTCGAGCTGACAGCTTATCTGCCCCCTGATCAGTGTGGATTAGTGTCGGGAGCACCTGCTCTGCAGTGTGACACCTCCAGGCTCATCCTGCTGGGGTTCCCCAGCTCCCCAGGGATGTGCTGGAGCCACCCCAGCAGGCTCTGGGCCAGTGCTCCCAGTGCCACCAGAGAGGAGCCCCCCGGAGCAGGGTTATTTACCAAACAGAGGGCACAGTTGTGGCCACAAGGTGCTTTTATCCATCAGAAGCACTGTAAATGTCTCCTCTACCGTGATGTGGAGTCCCCCAGCCCTGCCTGCTCCCCGTTGAAGGGAGGTCGTGGTGCTGTGCTCCTGCTCTGCATCCCTCAGGGCCCCTGGCAGCAGAGCTGGGGTCGCCCTGGCTCTGGATAACCATCCCTTGTTTCCCGTTTTGGGGGTTTCTGGGTGAAACCCACACTCGTGTGTAAATGCATAATTCTGTTGTGGTTTGTTGCAGGCAGGCCTGACCCTGGGAAACTGGGAGCCTTTCAAGGAGGGCTGGAAGGGAGGGAGAGGAGTGGCTGGTGGGACACACACTGCCACACGCCCTGCCACCCAGGTGTGGCTGCCACTCCTCCACACCCCCGGCCCTGCTGCTGCCAGGGGGCAGGGCTGGCAGGGTCGGGAATGCCAGCCTCTGGTGCTGCTGGGGTTTGACAGCGCCAGGGAGGGACAGGAGCAGCCCCCAGCCTTGTCCCTCTGGAGGGAAACACCCCAGGCACAGAGGGCAGCTCCCGGGGCATGCAGCAGCGTGGGGGCAGCCCCCTGCAAATAGCCAGAGAGTGGCTGGGTCTCTGCCCAGCCGTCCATTATCCCATCCCATTATCCCATCCCATGATCCCATCCCATCCCATCCCATCCCAACCCATCCCACTCCCTCTCATCATCCCATCCCATTATCCCATCCCTTTATCCCATCCCATGATCCCATCCCATCCCATCCCATCCCATCCCATCCCATCCCATCCCATCCCATCCCATGATCCCATCCCATGATCCCATCCCATTGTCCCATTGTCCCGTGCCACTGTCCCGTGATCCCATCCCAGGGGCTCTCTGGGAGCGCAGGGATGGAGCTGGCTCCCGGGATTTCTGCAGGAGGAGCAGCCCTGCAGGAGCACAGGTGATGGGGCCAGTCCAGCAGGGCTGATCCCGGTCTGTCCAGAGCTGTTGGCTGGACACACCTGGCCAGTGGCAGCGTGTGCCAGGGCAGGAGTGTGCCATGGCAGGTGTGTGCCAGGGCAGGAGTGTGCCATGGCAGGTGTGTGCCAGGGCAGGAGTGTGCCATGGCAGGTGTGTGCCAGGGCAGGAGTGTGCCAGGGCAGAAGTGTGCCAGGGCAGGTGTGTGCTGTGTGTGCCAGGATAGGAATGTGCCAGGGCAGGAGTGTGCCAGGGCAGGCGGTTGTGCTGCTGCTGCTCCCTGGGGCTCCTTTCCCAGCCGGAATCCAGGTGTGTGTGTCCCTCCTGCCCCCCTGCTCCGGCAGCAGTTCCGGCTGGCAGGGAGTGTATCCCGGGGTTATTCCTGGGTATTCCTGCCAAACCCGCGATCCTGGGCTGGCTCTGAGCTGAGCCCGCCTGGCAGTGCCCCCGCCCCGCAGACCTTCCGTGCCTGCAGCCCTGAGGCTGGCAGAGCCCGGGACAGCGGAGCCCGCTGCCCGCCGCAGCGCTGGGACATCCTGCCAGCCCCGGCTCCCCCCGGCGCCACAAACGGGCAGGGACACGGAGCGCCGGGGAGCCCAAAGCCCGGGAGCTCCCCACCTGTCCCGGCCGCAGCTTCTGCTGGCCTGGCTGTGCCCACCCTGTGCCCCTGTGCCCCTGTGTTCTTGTGTCCCTGTGTCCCTATGCCCCTGTGTCCTTGTGCCCCTGTGTCCCTGTGTCCTTGTGTCCCTGTGTCCTTGTGCCCCTGTGTCCTTGTGCCCCTGTGTCCCTGTGTCCCTGTGTCCCTGTGCCCCTGTACCCACCCTGTGCCCCTGTGCCCCTGTGCCCCTGTGTCCTTGTGCCCCTGTGTCCCTGTGTCCTTGTGTCCCTGTGCCCACCCTGTGTCCTTGTGTCCCTGTGCCCACCCTGTGCCCACCCTGTGTCCCTGTGCCCGCATCCCCATGTCCCGGTGTCCCCCGCTGTCCCTGCTCTGCCCTGTCCCCATGTCCCTGCTGTCCCCATGTCCCTGCTGTCCCCGTGTCCCTACTCTGCCCATTCCATGTCCCCGCTGTCCCCGTGTCCCTGCTCTCCCCCTGTCCCTGCTGTCCCTGTGTCCCCGCAGTGTCCATCCCGTGTCCCCGTGTCCCCCCAGTGTCCCCTGTCTCCGCTGTCCCCGTGTCCCCGTTGTGTCCATCCCGTGTCTCCGCTGTCCCTGTGTCCCCGTTGTGTCCATCCCGTGTCCCTGTGTCCCCATTGTGTCTATCCCCTGTCCCTGCTGTCCCCGTGTCCCCGCAGTGTCCCCGTGTCCCTATGTCCAAGCAGTGCCCATCCCGTGTCCCTGTGTCCCCGTTGTGTCCATCCCGTGTCCCCGCTGTCCCCGTGTCCCTGTGTCCCCACATTGTCCATCAGCCAGGTGACATCCCGGGTTCACTGGCAGGAGCGGCTGGGGCTGTGGGCTGCTGCCAGCAGGGCGTTCGCAGCATTCCTGGGTGTCCTGCAGGCAGGAAGAACGAACTGCTCCCTCTGGGGGCTTCAGCCTTTGGGGTCCCTAGTCCCCCCTGAGGCACAGCTGGGGTTCTGTACCTGGGAGCAGCTGAAATGCTGCTGCTCCAGGAGAATCTTTTAATTCTCTCCTAAAAGAGGCCTTGAACGAAGGCCTGCAGTGAATTCACAGTGCCCACATCTGTCGGAACCCAGGACATCCCTCCGGATGGCTCAAAGCCCTGGCAGGGGCTCAGAGACCCTGCCAGGAAGCCAAAGGCACCTGGGAATTGAATCTGAACCCATGGAGCAAATTACCAACCTTGTATGAAGAATTACAAGTCACAGATGTTTAAGCAGCATAACAGCAGCTGTCACAGGGTGAAAGGTGGAATTTTGAAGAGTTTCACTCTGGGGGTCTAGGGGACAGGATGGAGGGATCTGGGCATTGTCCTGTCCTTCTCCCTTCTTCTTCCCAGCCTCCATCTGCTTGGTGATGGTGGCACTTTGGGATTGGTGTGGAGCAGAAAGTCCCTGTCTAACACAGGGGATAGGCATTGGGACACAGCTGTAAATATGGAATATGTAGTTTGCAGTGTAAAAGACAGCACCAGCCCCGTGGGCAGGCAGAGTGTGCCTCAGACTGACCTGCAGAACAGACCTTGGCAGGCCAGACAGAAAATGGTTTAGATAAGAAATAACAAACAGCCTTGAGAACGATGGCCAAAGACTCCTGATTTCTTCTCGGACAGTTGGGTTGGGGAAAAGAGACTTTTAACACACCTCAGGGTCACTTCAACCAGAGGAGCCCCGAGACAGGCCAGCCTTGGTGCAGCCTGTGGGGTAGAGCTTGTGCAGGA